CCCTGACAGTGTAATTTGTATCTGGGGAACCTGGAGCAATTACAAAATCAGCCCAAACACTATTTGTTTCACAAGATTTTGCCCTTAGTTAGCACTGTCGTTCTGCTTTAATTACACTGTAATTAATTGCAACAAAACTGTTTGGAAAGTGCATGTGCACAATGGAAAGGCTGGAATATTGCAACCTGCCTGCTCCTCTGCAGCCAGGAGCGTAAAACTCCTGATCCTCTTTCAGTATAGCACTTGGCATTCATTTTACCACCCTATTTCTAGAGCATCTCCACGTCCTGTCAAAAACAGACCTAGACTCACAGAAGGGGACTGCTGATTTGTTTTACATCCAGGGAAATTAAGGCGCAGAAAAGCTAATCTCTTCTAATTTCTTTTCAGACAGGACTAAGAAGGCAGAAGTTGCCAGATGTGAAGAAAGCTTGGGCCTGGATGTAAATCTCAACCTTCTTCTCTGCCCTGGGATGCTCAGATGTTCTCATATTCCCCTGCAGCTCCCAAAGCCACCTAGCACCTTGAAGGGGCTGAGACCTGCCTCCTGCCCATGGAGAAGGTTGGCTCATCCATAAAAGAAACATTAAGCAACAGGTCCCTAAAGACAGAAGGCAGTGAGACTTGGGCCTGATGATAAAGGAAAGCAAATCTGGCCCATTTCTTCTGCAATCTGTCCCCTTCCAGTATTTCCAGCATCTAGCCATGGCACAGAGGCATTAATCCCGGCTGAGGTGGACTGTCAGAGTCCTCTTTCAGCTGGTGTTCAGTCTCTCAGGGCAGAGTATAAAAGCAGCTGTAATGCAATCGCTGGGCAGCTGCTAGGATTGAGAAGCCACCAAATGCATCCTAGGCTGCCTCGAGTTTCATCCCCTGACCCATTATTTCTGGGTAAGAAGGGCAGCTGCAGCAGAAATCTGCACCCTTGCAAGGCTGGGGAGGTCTGGAAGGGACACGGGAATCAGGAGACAGGGATTAGCTTATGTGACTTGTCTCCTCTTGCACACCACCAGCAAGTGGTGGTAGACTTGCTGGTAGAGCAGGAGGGGAGATTTCCCATTTCAAAAAAGATCAACATTGATAAAAAAAATGTTCTTTTTTATTTTTTTTTTCCCCAGCTAAATACTTAGCAGAAAAAATATGCTCTTGCTTTTCTTTCCTCTTTACTGTTTTCTTTTTCTCCTCTACTCTCTTCCCTTCTCTTCTCCCCTTCTCTCCTTTCCCTACTTTCCTCTCCTCTTCTCCAATATCCTCCCAGGAGGCTGTCAAACCTTCTCACCTCCATGTTGCTGGTAGCAGATGGAACAACTTGCCCCAAACCACATCAGCACAGCGATAGAGAACATGAACAATGAGGAGAACATCACCAGCTGGTCACCCAAAGATGCGCCCAGACCCCATGTGTACCTGGAGGCACCTCCAGCCTCTAGATTGCTCCCCAGCAGCCCAGAGCCACAGCCACATCGGGGAAAAGGGCCCAAATTTTGCTTTGAGGCAACAGTCCCAGCACAGGGGGCTGTGAAGCCACCTCCCCGGCTGCCTGCCCGGCACTGTGGGGCAATGTGGGGTAAGGAAAGCCCCTGGCAGAGGTGAGGATGAGGGGCTTTGAGGAGCTCACGGCAGACAGGAGCCAGCGAGGGACTGGGCAGGCAGCAGCAGGGGGGTCCAGAGGTAGAAGCAAAACAATTGGGATTATCCCAGCAGCAATAACGCTGGAAGATTCAGCTGATGTAGGAGACCTCCCAGACACATGCCTAGAGAGCCTGGGGTTTGGCAGAGGATCTGCTCCATCAGCTTCAACTCACCTTGGCAAAAGGTGCCCGGATACCATGGTGACGGGCTCGGCGGGGATAAACACCGAACATGGGTGTGGGTTGTTTGCATAGTTAGGAAGCTGGCTGGTCTCCATCCCTCCACCCTGCCTCCTCCCAGCAGTGCCAGGATCTCAATCCAAAGTGGTCTCCTACCTCCTCCTGGGCTGGCTCATCCGCGGGCAACACGGAGGCACTTCCCAAACTGGTTCTCTGCTAGGCAGGGCAGGGTGGGGGACGGCAACGTGGGGTTGCTGCCTCTCCCCGCTCCCCGGGAGCTGGAAGTCATTTGATGGTCCCAACATCCATGTGCCTGCCTGGACCCACATGGAGACGGCGCAGGTCCTTCCATGTGTGGGACAATCCCTCCTCCTCCTCCTCCTCTTCTTCTTCGGCTGCCAAGCACATCAAGCCCCTTGCAAAACCACCGGCTGGGACGTGGCATGCTTCTCCCCCACCCAAAAAAGCACTCGCGACCACCACTCACCCGCTCCTCAGGGGCAAGGACATCTTTTTGATGGACAAGGAACACAGCAATCCAACAGCAGCGAGAAATAAATCTATAATTAAGGCAAGCTGCTCACATGAGCGATACTTGAAAATTATGCAGACCTGTGAGCAACGTTGCCATCGGGCGCGCGGCTCCTCTCAGGCTTCCAGTAAGGAATAAAAAAGCTCTGACTAATATAAAGAGGCCTCCAAATCATTCTTGGCAGAAGCATCCTAGCCCCGGATCCCCTCCCTCTATTCATTGCTAAAGCTCTCAGCCAAAGGAAAATAAACTGTGCAGCTACCTCGCTGACCCGACCTGCAGTGCGGTGTAGCTGGGTGCCGGCTGCCCCTTCTGCACAATTATACACTAATATAGTAGTGTATAATATATATAAATTATACATTATGTACATTTATATGCTATATGTACATTTATAATACATGTATTATATTTATAAATAAATATAGACATTATATGTGGGGCTGCATGGACAGCCTCATGCAGATGGGAACCGGAGCGATGGTGCCTTCCCATCCCCATCCTGCCAGGAGGGCAGGGGCAGGGGCACAGGCACGACCAGGGGCAGGGATGAGCCCTCCCGTCGCTGCCTGCTTTGCTAGGATCATCCACACACACTCAAAAATATCACGTTTCAATACAGTCTGAGATCCTTCGCCTTTTCTAGTTACTTCCAAGTTTATAAAACCATTACACCAGCGACACTTAATGGGAATAAGACCAGGAATATGAACTGGGGAGGGAAGACTTCAGTGTTTTGAAACTATTTTAATAACTTGCAATTTAATTAAGAGCAATAGCTCCGAAATTATGTCAGTGAAACTTGCCACTTATTTATTAATTAGAGGAGGAATTTCAAAGGAGGCTAAGGGAGTTAGGTGCTGGACAGCCCCGGGCTCGCTGGAAAATCCCAGGGTTGTATGGCAAATGCTTGCTCAGTGCTCAAACACGCCGGGTCTGACTCCTCATTGCCTGGCACCTGAAGTAAACAGTGTCAAGCACAAGCATAAAGTGGGTGTTAAATGTTGCCTGCTCCAGAGCACAGGTTTGAAATGACCTTTTTGCGGTGGTGGGAGTGATGGAAAGCACTGGAAGACCACGGAAAGACGGCAGAGCATCTCATCTGTCTTTCCAGGAGCTCTTTGTTGGGCTGTCCTGGGATGGGTACACCAGGATACACGCACAGAAGCTTGCAAAAAGTTTGCTCTCCGGTGTGGAGTGTTGGAGATGCTGAAGGCAGCAAGGGCTGGCCGTGCCCGCGGCACCTGCTCCCTGCGACCAGGGCTCAGATAGACCCAGCTGCCTTCGCTGCTCCCAACCTCCAAATCCTCCCAGGAAGAGAAACCCTCCACTTCCACCAAGCAGAAAGGAGAAGGAAGTCCGACTCGGTCTCATTCCCCCAAATATTGTACCTGGGTGAACTGGAAGGTGGCTGCCACATCCCCTTTTTGAGGGCAGAACAAGCTGCACAACCGCGCCAAGTGTTTCCATCCACCCGACACGCTCCAGAAAGCGAGTCGGGATGGCCGGGCACCGGTTTCTCCTCTGCTGAGCACGTTCCTCCCCTCCTGTTTTAATTCAGCCCAACCTTAAACAAAACCATGGCTGTTTTTATCGGCGGTGCGGATCTGGGAATTACCTACATGGGGTCGGGGGAGCTGGAGAGGGGGCTCGTGCTGTTGAAACAGCATTTAACCTCAAGAAGGAGCTCTTAAAAATATTAAAGCTTAACCGGGTATAACATACCGTCCTGCTGCACCCCATTTGCTAGTCAAGAAGCAAAAAGTTCCCAAGACAGACTGAGATTTCAACCCAAACTTCAGGTAGGGGGTGTCCAGATAAAGCACCTCCAGTTTCCCCAAACAATCCCCGCTTGCGGCACAGGCAGCGCAGAGCAGGTTGGCTTGAGCTGAGTTTAACCCTGCACTGAGCAGCAGCCTCATCCCAAACACGCTTCCCAGCCTGTCTTTAATCATGATTTCAATGCCAGCATTAAATCTGCTGAGATGTTTTACCTATTTAAGAGGAGAATGGTTTTTTTCCTGCAAATTTTCTGCAAAGAACAACCCAACCAAAAATTACTTTAAACCAAATAGTAATAAATATTAAAAATATATAATGGAATATATATAATAGACATACTATATATACTATATATAATAGAATATATATTATATTCTTTTTATTACATTACATTATGTTTATATTATATTATATATATTAATAATCTGCCTTATCAGAGCCCTTCTGCCTACTCAGAAGATGTTAGCAGATGTGTTTTCACACTGATATTTCCTATCTAAAACATACAAGCAAATAACTAAGCTGGACTTATAAAAAATTAAACCCCACAAATTGAGAGGTTGTATCGTACAGGTGTTGAGACACAGCCAAAATCTCCGGGCTTGGTAAAGATTCAAGATACCAGGCAGGGAAATCAGAAAGAGAATCACACGTTCGAGTTCAAACAGCAATTAAAAATGCATGTAAATGGTGATAGATTAGTACAGAGGATCGCTACGACGCGGCGAAGATTTCTAACACGAACACGATTAGCCTCCGAGCATGAAATTCAAACACCTTCCCCTCCCCTCCATAAACCACAAAAGCCTTAAAAGGGGAAAAAACCCCGCTGAAATAACATATTTCGGAAACCGAAAATAAAGCATTCAACCCACCTTCCCACTCCAGGTGCCGACCCTCGTCCTCCTCTCGCCTGCCTTGGCTGCAAGGGGAATCCGGCAGCGTCGCTCCCCGGGTGTCTGCAGCCGAGCGGAGATTGTCATTGATTTGTGTGCGGAAAGTTAAGCCTTTCTAGGAGCGGTTAGGAGAATTCACTCCCACCACTCCCTCTAAACCAAAAGTATTTGGCACAGAGCCCTCCTCGTCCACCTGTACTATCCAGGTCTAAACAACACGCGGGACATCGGCTGATTTTACTGGGATTTTTTTCATGTTTCCTTTTTAAACAAGCACACAAAGTTCTTTGGAAAGAGAAACTTAGGGATTTGTTGTGTTTTTGGCTTTTTTTTTGTTTGTTTGTTTTTTTGGTGTTTTGTGGGTTGATTTTTTTTTTTTTTTTTTAATCTTATTTTTCTTAAAGAAGATTTATTGCATCTTTTTTGTTTTCCACTCAGTGTGTCAAGCCCTTCCCTGGTGTAACTGGTGACCCCTGATCATGCTGGTTTGCTCCCGCAGAGGTGATGCTGTGGGTGAATTTCCTCCTGATCTGCTCTGCTTCCCCGGCAAACCGGGCACCCATTTGGCTGAGACAAGGTAAACCTGGGGGGCAACAAAAACCTTCTCTTTTGAAAAGAACTGGGTATCGTTTAACTAAAAAAATCAGGTTTTGCACATGAATGACCCAAGTGAGTGAGAAAATGGAGGCAAGCCCCCCCAGCACCCAGACTGAGAAGATACCTCCTGGCCACCTCAGCTGCACCCATACGCCCAACAGCCCTGTCCATGGCCAACAGCCCCATCCTGCACTCACCTCCTGCTGTCCCCGTCCATGAGGACATCCCAAGGAGGAGCCACCCCACTGGACTCCGTCTCAGCAGAGCGTGCCACCTCTGCGAGCAGCCTAACCTGGCTAAGGCCAGCTTGCCAGCATGTGTGCAACCCCAAAGGGTTGGCCATCGTGTTGAGTGATAAATAACAGGTCCCTCCTCTTCTCCTCGTTGGGTGCACCAAGGATTGGCTCATTCTCAAGATTCTGCCCCCAATTAAACAGCCACATCTCAGAGCATTAACCTAAAAAACTGCATTTAATAAAATACAAGTTCCTTCCTGGCACAGGTATTATGACAACAAGGAAGTACAGATTTTTTGTTAATACAATAAATCTGATGAGAGCAGCTGGACACAGAGTTCCACATTACATGCCTTTGTCCTGGCTTTCCTCTAAAGAAGCACATTAAAAAAACCCCAAATCACAACGAAAATTGTTTCTACAAGGGAAGTCTTTCTGAAGCACAAGGCAAAATCAAGTGTAAGATAGCCTCGGGCAACCTGGCACTCCCAGACACAGCTTGGAAGAGCACGGTTACTTTTGAAACTTTTATTACACACTTTCTTGGTCTGTAGGAAAAAAAAAAATATACTGCTTCCATCCCCACACCCAAACTACTATCTACAATTCCTCTGACTACTGGGTTTCTAAGGAGTGTCTGGGTAAATCAGTAAATGAAGTCGGTGTGAACAATATGTCTGGCCCCAGATAAGGGTAAAGCAAAACTTGGGCAGCATCCAGCGACTGCCAAGCCAGCGTGGAGAGGAACACCAAGTGCCACCCATTGCTTTTCCTGGTACTGCCACAGCCTGAGTCCCCCGTGAGATGTGAGCACCCATTCAACCACCCACCTGCACCCCAAGCACAGAACCAAGTGACTCTTCATTTCCCACAAAAATTGTTCTTTTTTCGCCATCAAAATGGCTTGCTCCCACCAATCCACCAAAGCCAACCTGTTGAAGAAATAATTACTTCCGTCCCATGCTAATGAAGTGCATTATTTGTGGTGCTGCTTCCCAAAATGTCCCCAATACCACTGAGGTGCAGGAGCGTGTCCGGAGAAGGGCAACGGAGCTGGTGAGGGGTCTGGAGCACAAGTTCTGTCACGAGCGGCTGAGGGACCTGGGGGGGTTCAGCCTGGAGAGGAGGCGGCTGAGGGGAGACCTGATGGCTCTCTACAACTGCCTGAAAGGAGGCTGGAGCCAGGGGGGTCGGTCTCTTCTCCCTGGTGACAGGGATAGGACAAGGGGAAACGGCCTCAAGGTGAGACAGGGGGGGGTTTAGGTTGGATATTTGGAAAAATTTCTTCACCAAAAGGGTTGTCAAGCGCTGGAACCGGCTGCCCAGGGAAACGGTGGAGTCACCAGCCCTGGAGGTGCTTAAAAGATGTGTAGATGTGGTGCCTGGGGACTTGGTTTAGTGGTGGAGCTGGCAGTGTGAGGTTAACGGTTGGACTTGGTGATTTTTTCCAACCTAAGTGATTCTATGATTAAAAACGTCCCCTAATTCCTGCAAGCCAAACCCAACATTTTCATACAGAAGAATACTTAGGGTGGGGGGAGGAGGAGACAGTGAGAGATGAAACACCTCAGCGATGACTTTGAGTCCAAAACCACTGCAGACCAATGGGTCCTCACTGAACCCTGGAAATTATTTCCCATTTACCAGGTGAAACTGGTTGACAGTTTTTGATCACCATTAATGGGAAGATGAACGGGTCTCCTAGATTATAAAGGAAGAGCGGCTAAACTACTTCTAACAGGGTGTGAAATAAGAATAACAGGAGAAAGAAGACAAGAAAGGGTTGTGCCAGACCCCACCTCAGTTCACAAGCATAGCAGGAAACACTTAGTAAAAAAAATAAATAGAAAAGGTTGTAATGACTTCTTATCCCAGGTCAGGAAAGCTCTAATTACAGGTATATTGAATTGAAAGCTTTCCAGAAGAAAGAGTACTTAAAGGATGCCTGTCCAATCAGAAAAATAAATGATCATCAAATTTAAGTATTTTCAGGGGTAAAATTAATTTTGACACATTTTTTCTTTCTACAGCTTTTTTTAAAATTTTATTTTAAAGAACAAACTGGCACAAGTGTTTTGTGAATTTTTGCAATTTTTCCCTTCAAACCTGAGTTTTTCAGCCCTGTCTTAAACTTTAGCTAGTTGGTGCCTAGTAATCAACCTCGTTGAATCCAGCTCTCTGAGAGCCAGAGAAAGATATTTTCTGCAACAAGATTTGCTGCACCAGTCATATTTTTCAAAAGAAAATAATTTTCTTCCTCAAACATTCCTATTTTACCGCCAAAACTCATTGGTAGAAAAAAAAAAAAAAAAAGGATATTTTTTTTCAGGTTAATTTTGGTAAGAAATAAAACCCAGCAACCTATTTTCTCCCTAAAACTCACAGAAACTGCTTGCAAATGGGAAACTTGGAAAAGCCCAATCAGCTTTCCTCTGAGGTGTCTATCCCACACACCTGCACGTGTTTCTGTTTGCTGTGGTGCATATCCCCGTTAACTTCAACACCGCTCCCCAGGCAGTAAAGTTAAGCCTTGCCTAAGTGCTTCCAAATGTTGGCCTTGTTTTAAAGTTGATAGAGTAAGTGGAAGGAAGAGATGTGAGCCCACAGCCTTGATGCACACCCTTATTTCTAGGGTACCACCGGGTCAGTCAAAACAGGGGGAAGGAGGATGGGGAAATGACCCATCTGGTTTAAGGAGGTCTCTGTGTTTGTGGCTCGGGTAAGAGCTGATGGCTTTTCATCTTTAAAAGGTAACTGTGGACATTGGGAAAGGGTGAGTGAATGATGTTGTGAAAGATTTCTTTGCTAGTAGCCCCACGCTCTGCAGACGAGGAGCAGTTTCCAGCAAGAGGCTGAATTACTGGTTACCCCATGCTACAGACTGCGTGGATTCTCTGGTTCAGGCTATGTGTACATGCAAAGCTGCTGTTACAATATTCCTATTAAAAAAAAAAAAAAAAAAAAAAAAAAAAAAAGAAAAGCTCTAAAGTAAATCAGTGAAAACCGATGTCGATTAAGTGCTTTGCTAAAACAATCCAGCCAGAGCCTCAGTGACTTCATATTTGAAAACTTAATGGTCATAATCCAGATTGATCCTAAGGCATCTCCAGGGCTTTGCCTAACGCGGATGGTGGAATTCAATGAGGCTCCAGTGTCTTCAATGGAAATATGGTCATTTATGCTACCCAGAGATTTCCTTGAGAAATGAAAACACAGTTTGATGTCTATTGAGGAACAGGGCTGGATGCAGCCAAGATTGTACGTGTGTACAGGGTGTACATATACACACTGTATGTGTAGCTATATGATAAGATTTTGCTACATCACACGGCTTCATTGGGAAGTTCTCAGAGGAAGAGCTGCACCCTGACCTCCTCTTCCTCCAGTATATGTGCTCCAGCAGGGACTGGTACCAGCTCTGGAAATGCAGCCACCTCTGGGTGAAGCTGGCCCCACAGCTCCCAGTCCTTCTTGATCTTTTTCCCAGTCCTTCTAGCTCTTTTTGCTCCTCTGAAGCTTCACAGTGCCACAAGGGCATACGAACAATCCCACATTAGCAAGAACATGCCAAAACTTCTGCATAAACTTGAATTAAACTTGTATTTTGGTTGGAAAACATTTACCTTTCCCTACTGGGTCTTATTCTCAGCCTGATGGAAGAAGATGAAGCCAGGCAAAGCTGTAACCTGTGTAATCTCTTTCTCGGTGGGAGAGAAAGATTATCTCGAAGGGTAATAGATAAGGATGTGGAAGGCTTGGTGGCATGGCACTGGAGAGGTGCTGTAAGGCTAAACGCATTGAATCCTCCTCCATCTCCCAAAACAAAGCCATAATCAGCTTATCTGCGATAATGGCCATTCCCAGTGCTGAAGATCAGGGGCCAGAAACCTTGTCTCATCCCTGAATCCACCAGCAAGGAGGGACTGACATCAGCTCCTGCTCTCCAGAGCACACACTGCAAATGGGGGGCATGGACATTTTCCTCCCTGAAGCCACACCTATGCAAATACTTGATGTATTGCTTGATTACATGGTTAGATGACACACACCTGAAGGCAGTAGCCAGGTCATTTTGCTTGGTTTTAACGCTTCAGTCCTCCCTTTGTCTTTGTTGGGAAAGATTTTCAAGTTGTCTTCAGCTTGTGCTTGTGCAGGGCTGGGACTGGGTGAGGGCTACTAAGAATAAGTGATCATAGGATGAATCCTAAACATGAATGGATGTTAAT